CAGGCAGGTGCCCCTGCTAGAGCACCAGGGCTTCCTTGGACCCCCTTCAGTGACAGGTGCTATTTCCACACAGGTATCTGATTGGAGAGGGGGGCTACTGTCTGACGTCACTACAGAGTGCCCTGAGCTATGTGGAGCTGCTGCCCCGAGGCGCCCTGGGCAAGTAGAGGAGAATGGGACTGCTAAGGACTGTGCAGGAGCCACCTATACCAGGGGCTCTGCAGTTTTCACCCACACCCTAACCCTACATCTGCCCCGAGGAGCTGCTCCTAACAGGATGGGGATAAGCTGAACCAGGCCCTTCTCTTTCCTGTTCCAGCCTCCAAGAGGCCTTGTGCAGGGAACTGGAGCTGCAGGCTCCCCTAGGGGGGCACAGGGGCAGAGCAAGGGCGTGGGCCTTCTGTCCTTTGTGACAGTCAGCTCCCTGAGCCAATTTCTTGTTAGAATCAAGAAGAGATCTTGTCAGCCCTCTGCCCCTGGAGGCCTGGGGCCCAGGTGGTTTGAGACTGCAGTTTATTTATTGAGCATTGACCACTCCACTCTCCCCTGGAGGCCCAGGCGTCCCTGAGGGACCCACCTGTGTCTGAGGACTCTGAGCCACATTCCCACCCTTGGCAGTGGGCATCGAACACCCCCTGGCAAGTTCCTACCCTTGCATATCCCCTTCTGGGTGAGTGTGAACCTGAGGGTCAGCACCTGCACTGCCTGCTCTGACTCTACATGCCCCCGGCAGCCACTGGCCTGGCTGAAAATAAAGAGGTCACTGATGTCTCACTCCGTGTAGCTTGCTTGCTTGCTTCCCACTCACTGGCTGGGCAGAGGCCAAGGCAGGACAGCCACACCCTCTACTGACCAGCAAGAGCCAGACTCCCAGAGACCACCGAGGTCCACCACACCAGGCCTGCCCCCCAGGCCCTCTCCGTAGGAGTGGGATAGCCCTGGGGTGGCCCCCTAGGACAGGATGTTATGCAGGGCCTAGTGAGTTGGTAGGGTTGGAGGTCATACCTGGGTAGAACTTGAGCCCAGAGAACTCAGCCTGAGGCTCTCAGGAGTTGGTTTTGTACTCCAGATGGTGAACACACATAGACACCCTGAGCGGTGGTACCTGTGACTCCGGGAGAGCAGGGAGCAGGTGGCTGGACCACAGCCATGGGCAGCACCTGCCAGGGACAGAGGGACACCCCCCCCCCCC